CTGAGATGGGAGTCTTTACAACCCAGGACAAAGCAACAAGCTGACATTCAGCCTTTGATAGAAACTCATAATGTCCTTTCATGGTATGAATAATATTCTCACCTTCTACAAGCACAAAAATAAACTCAAAATTAAGTGATTCACCTAAAGCTAAAAAAAGTCAGAAAGAAACTGTGTAGAGGCTTCCAGTAAGGTACACTAAAACTGACTAAACCTACCTATCTAGTCTTATGAGTCTTATCTATCTATCTATCATCTATTGACCTATCTACCTGTCTATTTGTCAGATTCAGACTTCAGATTGTAGTATATTTCTTGAGCCTATGCAGGGAGAATATTGAGTATATGAGGCTATGCAGGGAGAAAATTAGAAGGGCCAAAGCCCAACTAGAACTTAATCTGCCTACTGCTGTAAAAGACAATTAAAAATGTTTCTATAAATGCATTAACAATAAAAGGAGGGCTAAGGAGAATCTCCATCCTTTATTGGCTGGGGCGGGGGGGGAAGATAGTGACAAAGGATGAGGAAAAGGCTGAGGGACTTAATGCCACCTTTGCCCCAGTCTTTAATAGTAAGGCCAGTTGTTCTTGCAGTACCCAGCCCCCTGAGCTGGATGACAGGGACGGGGAGCAGAATGAAGCCCCCATAATCCAAGGGGAAATGGTTAGCAACCTGCTACACCACTTACACACAAGTCTATGGGGCCAGATGGGATCCACCCAAGGGTACTGAGGGAGCTGGAGGAAGTGCTCACCAAGCAACTTTCCATCATTTATCAGCAGTCCTGGCTAACTGGGGAGGTCCCAGTTGACTGGAGGTTAGCAAATGTGGCACCCATCTACAAGAAGGGCCGGAAGGAGGATCCAGGGAACTACAGGCCTGTCAGTCTGAGCTCAGTGCTGGGGAAGGTCATCGAGCAGATCATCCTGAGTGCCATCACATGGCACATACAGGACAACCAAGTGATCAGGCCCAGTCAGCATGGGTTTATGAAAGGCAGGTCCTGCTTGACTAACCTGATCACCTTCTATGACAAGGTGACCCACTTAGTGAATGAGGGAAAGGCTGTGGATGTTGTCTACCTAGACTTTAGTAAAGCCTTTGACACCATTTCCCACTGGATTCTCCTGGAGAAACTGGCTGCTCATGGCTTGGATGGGTGTACTCTTCACTGGGTAAAAGATTGGCTGGATGGCCGGGCCCAAAGAGTTGTGGTGAATGGAGTTATGGAGTTAAATCCAGCTGGTGGCCGGTCGCAAGTGGTGTTTCCCAGGGCTCAGTATTGGGGCCAGTTCTGTTTAATATCATTATCAATAATCTGGATGAGAGGATTGAGTGCACCCTCAGTAAGTTTGCAGATGACACCAAATTGGGTGGGAGTGTCGATCTGCTGGAGGGTAGGATGGCCCTGCAGAGGGACCTGGACAGGCTGGATCGATGGGCCGACGCCAACTGTATGAGGTTTAACAAGGCCAAGTGCCGGGTCCTGCACTTGGGTCAAAACAACCCCATGCAACGCTACAGGCGGCTGGAAAGCTGCCTGGCGGAAAAGGACCTGGGGGTGTTGGTCGACAGCCGGTTGAACAAGATCCAGCAGTGTGCCCAGGTGGCCAAGAAGGCCAACAGCATCCTGGCTTGTCTCAGGAATAGCGTGGCCAGCAGGAGCAGGGAGGTGATTGTCCCCCTGTACTCGGTGCTGGTGAGGCTGCACCTGGAATACTGTGTCCAGTTTTGGGCCCCTCAATACAAGAAAGACATTGAGGTGCTGGAGCATGTCCAGAGAAGGGCAACAAAGCTGGTGAAGGGTCTGGAGCACAGGCCTTATGAGGAGCGGCTGAGGGAACTGGGGGCTGTTTAGCCTAGAGGAGGCTGAGGGGAGACCTTATTGCTCTCTAGGACTACCTGAAAGGAGGCTGTAGCAACGTGGGTGTCAGTCTCTTTTGCAAGTAACAAGTGATAGAATGAAAGGAATTGACCTTCAAGTTGCGCCAGGGGAGGTTTAGATTGGGTATTAGAAAAATTTCTTCACACAAAAGGTTGTCAAACATCGGAACACGCTGCCCAGGGAAGTGTTGAGTCACCATCCCTGGAGGTATTTAAAAGACATGTAGATACGGTACTTAAGGATATGGTTTAGTGGTGGACTTGGTAGTGTTACGTTAACGGTTGGACTTGATGAGCTTAAAGGTCCTTCCTATGGATTCTATGATTCTATGACTCTTGGGTAAAAGGATCTGTGCATCACTGAATACTAACTATATCACCAGATCTAATAACTAATGGAAGACAAGACAACAAAGTAATGCCCACAACTGTTAAGACAACTAAGTTCACTATATATCGGGGAAAGATTCTCCCTACTATGAAAGATGGCACTAGTTTGATTAAATGACTTAATTTTGAAATTCAAATAATTTTATACGTATAGTATAGTTATCAGTAAAGCATGGTGAAATACTAGGATCAACCAATCAGAGTAATACAGTAAGTTGCAGTGGTTATGCCACAGGTCTTTTCATTGCAGAGCTATGAAGACATGACATATTCCTAAAATGTTTCTGCAAGCAGCAAGAGGTTTTGGATCTAGAAAAAGAATGAACACTCATAGGATGCACACTGCAGATACAAGTCTGAATTTTCTATGGGCATCTTCAGCTTTACACACTGAAAAAAATTCCATACTGGTTTACAATGAATATTTCTAGACATTAAGACAACCCAAAACACTAATATATTCTCACATAATATGACACATGCTAAGTCTTAATTAGTTACAGAAGAAATCAGAAATAAACAAAGCCCCAAGCTCATGTACCTTGCCTAGCCATTTGAAAACTACCTAGATGCAATAAGGATTGAAAATTGTTTCCACTACTGTTTGACTCTGTGCTATGAGCAACTATGCTCCACACACTTCCTATTTTCTTTGTTACATTGAAATTAGAGCTACAGATCCTGTATTTGATAAAGGCTCTGCAAGAGAGAAGTGTTAGAACAACTCAAACTGCAAAGGGCATGCTGCAGAAAAAATCCAACCTGTAACTCCTGCTGGCAGACCAGTTGATGCACTTGCCCTTTACTCAGGGCTATGCCTAAACCCACAGATTACTGCACAATGCATACCCATATCTATCATTACTATAGCAGGCTTTACAGCAAATTTACTCCACAAATATGTAACATATGACAGTGAATATTTCTGAAAAAAATAGATTATCAGAGTTAATTTACTTTGGTTTTTTATATTTATTTTACATTTTATATTTGTAACTCCTGCATATTTTAGTTTACAAAATGTCATATGGACATTTTATCTTATTTAAATATTGCTCAATATTTACTATTAATTCTTAAGAATTATTCTTAGTTAGAATAAAGATTTAATTTAAAAATTATCTGCTACTTAAACTCCAAAAACACTTGCACATAAACAAATGCACATTCAAAACTGGTAAGAGACACCTTTTTTTCATTCAGAGAGAATTATCTATAAGGAGTTTGAGAAGCAGATTATGTTGAACAAACAAGGTATAAACCAAAATTTAACATGATGACACTTTCTACTCTATGTCAATCTGCATCTTTTGGCTTTTCCAGAATCTCTTTTTTTCCATGAAAGCTTTTAAACCAGGTTATAAACAGCCAACAGATTCATGTATAATAGTAATGGTTAAGAGATTGTCTCAGAAAAAAGAAAAAAAAAATCCTGGTGTTTTTACCAGTTTTCAATATGCCTTTGAGTTTGCAAGGCTACACTTTTAGTAATATCTTTTTCTCATATCTTGGAATTCCAACAGCCTATTTAAATCTCATTGAGAGATTTACCATATTAATGCATATTAAACTAAACAACTGTGGTAAGCTTATAAGAGATTAAAATCTGATCACTGTTGCACAGCAAAAGCTTAAAATTACTATAAATAGGACTATTAGCCTATGTATACAGAAGGTGGTATGATGAAGGCTCTGAAGAATGAAGCATGATTTGCAGCACAAATTTTCAACATGAAACCAGTGCACAAAAGCACTGTGAGAGGAGGAATAGTGCAGGGATCTAATCTTTCAGCCTGCACTAACTTGTTCATCAGAACTTCATCTTTATTAACTCTTGCTTTCTATATCTGAGTGGCATATATTCAATGATCTGTCACACAACAGAATGCTGTATGAAATATAGAGCATCTTTGAATTGGCAAAGTTAGTTTTAGAAAAGTAAACTTTCAAATGTAACATTATTACATTATTTTAAAAATACAGGTACAAACTCTGTGGAGCTAGAAAGGATTTAAAGATAATTTCTTTGGTAATCTCATTTCTGGCATTCTTTTCTGAAATATAGGGTTTCCTACTTCTGAAAGTACTTAAGAAGAGTCAAAAAGTCGAATATAACAAAAGTATATGCTACTTTTAGCAAAGCTAAATTACCAAGGGAACCAGCCTACTACAGACATCTCAAATACACATGGCTTGTCTAGAAGGAATCTCCTTCATATAATGTTATTTTAAACCCATACTGACAACAACTTAACTGAAGGAGGAGAGCACCCTCATAAGTAACAGCCAGAGAATGAAAGGCAGATGAATGGTTTTGTTTCAACTTTTAAATAGGATTAAAACCAACCAAAAAAACAAATCCCCAACATAGTGCAAATTACAGCTTTTGAAATGAAAATGACCTGACACAGCCAGAAAGGTGTAGCACTGCTGAAATTTTATAGCTATAAGCCAGAAGACAAAATGTTGGAATACGTACAGCTAAAATCTGCATAATAAAATAATCACCTTTAATACAGAAAAGCCTATCTTAGAACAGCAATTACAACAAACTTATGAAGATGAGATTGCACTAAGATCTTAGTTGCTTGCTGTGCTAGAAGGTAGTCATATTTCCTTAGGAATAACAATAATACAACTGATACCTGTACATTGCTATCAGCGTACACTATCATCTCAATAACTAAAAAAGACAAAAAGTAGACTAAAAAACAGAAGAGCTCACCACTTCTTCATGCCTGCATTTTCTCACATTAATCCCATTAATCTGTTATTAAAAAGATAAAGAAAAGACTTACTCTACATTTCATAAGTATAGATTTCATTTCACTTTTCTAGAAAAATATAAACAAAAGAACTTACAATTTTACTCACCTGTAGAATTGCGTCTCCTATAAAGAGCAAACCTGAAAGTTCCGCTGAAAACAGAAAGCATATTTTTCACTCATTTTGTACAAAACATCTTACATTTTGTGTACATGCATTCCTATTTAATTTAATGTTTTTACATAATCTTTTAAAAATGTAAACAAAAAACTAATAAAAAAACCCAACCTACAACTTCCAAATAAATTATTCCCATTTTTTTTTTAATCCCAAAATACTGGTGTATCAGTGTAACAATGAAAGAGTCCACACAGCTCAAGTACAAGCTCTTCCATCAGTCACTAGCGCCTTTCAGGCCACTATGGTGAGGTATGGCATACTTTTCTGAATAGAAAATTACTGCAGGACTAGGTCCTATTTGCCTGTGAGAGATCATTTCTTACAAACTCTGAGGACAAAGCAACATGGAGACTCCAGAGCTACTTATGAATGACAAATCTAACATGTAAGCTTTTACCAATAATACGTTAGATCCTGCGTTTTTGATAAACCCAGTATTTATGCTGGGTAACGCTTTATGTGCTGAAGAGCTAGAAAATCAGTGTATTGTACAAAATCACCAGCCGAACCGAATTTGATTTTTAAAACAAAGCTATACCCTATAAATCACAAGGGAATTAAAAAAATCTAATTCTACAGTTGCAATTTTTAAATATTATGTTGTGTTACAGAGCTATCCAATGCAAATATACTTTATAAATACACAAGAAATATAACAAAGATTATTTGTCTACAAAGAAATAAATAACCCCTAACATAACAAGTAAGGAATATTAACAGATTATATGGGTTTATTTATTTATAGTATTCCAAAACATCACAGAGACATTGTCTAAAAAAAAAAAAACTAGAATTGGACCTTGTCCAAGACAGACCTGATCCAAAAACTTTACTTATTTACATCAGTTGTAAAACTGGAATCAATATTAACATAAATTATGATACTCAAGTACATGTTTGAAGGACTGGTCTTATTAGCTAGATGTAACATAGGACGTTTAATTTATTGGAGGCTAGACACTCTGGTTTATTTTTTTCTTTTTTCTTAAATAAATGCAAATCTCAATATTCTTCTTCAGACACTGGGCTCACATGTACTAACACGTCATATATGACCTAATGTGCTAGCCTAAGTCCCTTATGTGCATCACTGGTTCTAAGAATTGCATCAAATGTCACATTCTTGTTTAGAGGTCCAAAGAAAGAGCTGAAGTCAATTGGGAGGAGGGCAGAACCAAGCCTGCAGAGCTCTGAGATACAGGCTCTGGGTCAAATAGCATTTTCTGTATCAAAGATGCCTAGTACAGACACATGACATGACACTTTCTACACCAGAAGAGATGGCCCTCAAAACTAGCTCTCTAAAAATCAGCAGTATTTTTACTGAAAGCAGTAATGGAGATTATATCTCAGCTAGGTATTGAGGTTAGAAATAATGCATCAGCTACTGCAGCAAAAAAATGATGACAAAAATAAAAGAGTGTGCACTTTTGTGTGCTCAATTAAACTGAAGTCTATCTTTCTTATTTTTCCTGCAGTGCTTAATAGCATTTTAATAGCTAGTGTAGGTAATATATGCCATATTATTATGTATTACATACTTATATGTATACTGAAAAGAATGGAGTCACAAATATAACTTCTTAAGGTTAATCTTATTGCCTTCCTTAGGGGCTCATTCCATGCTACTCTATAGCCTCCCTACACAGAACTTTCACATCTACCTTTCAGGGTTGGCTTTCAGTTCTTAATACACTGGTTCCCCTGTATCTCTCTTTATCTGTGCGGGCGAATATCAGACTTTTTTATGCTGGCACATTTTAATTGTGCAGAAGCAGCATCCTAGAAATATTGCACTACAGATGGAGGGAAATGCTTCCAGGTTTATGTTTCTGACCTTACACATGCACACAAATATCCACAAACTTAAGAGCCATATATAACATAAATGCACCATACCAGTACCGATTCACAACCTTCATCTCTCATCATCATGCACATCATGAGCTGTTTAACCATTATCCATCTTCCTAGCACTTATTATATCATTCCAATAATTTCAAAACATTGCCAGTTAAAAACAATACAGAGATTCAGCACCAGCTCTGCTTGTTCTAAGTATGTTAAGACCTTATGCAGTACCGGTTTTGCTATGTATGACTTGCTGCAAAGGCTTACACAGCACAGCATCTAATGCTGAAATAACATAGGGATATTATCAAGGTTCTGCCATTACTCACCCCTGTCTGAGTACTACCCTACTAACCAATATAAAAAGACATGCATTCTCTGGTGTTACCATGCTTTCATGGCCAAACATTTGATCTGCTACAGCTTCCTGGCAATAACCATTTGGAAATAAAAGTCACAAAATCATCAACTTTTGTTAAATTTGTTAAACATTTTCATTCTCTAAATACCTTCCTATTTGTCTCCTTAAAAATAATGCTTTACAAGAACTTTTGTTTAAAAAGTCATGTTGAAGACTGTTTACAAAATATACCAAACATAAATTCTGTACTTTTTCAGAGAACAGTTCTGAGGAAGAGGGAGATCATAATGACATGGAGAGAGAAATGGTACACCAATAGTGTTTGTTTAACACTTCTTGAAGAATCGCAAGACTTAATGCACCTTGCTTTAAGGACCATGTCAAAACACAGCATACTAATCTTCTACCCACCTCTTTGTTCTTTGGAAATCTTAGAAATGACCACTGGAATATTATGTTCTGCTCCACCCTGAAAACAGAATAATTGGCAATTTTGTCAGTCAGTGGAAATACCTTTTTGCTTAAAATTGTATTTTACCATTTTTCTAACTGCAGTTTTCAGAGAGATTGAGAAAATAACTCTGATTCTGTATGTCGTCTTTTTTTTTTTTAATAAATATTTGATTGGGTTTAATTCCTTATTGCTTCTCATAAAGAAGTTCTCAGTTGCCATCATCAGCTCAGGAAGTGAATTGAATGTCGTTCAAAACTCTACAAGACTTAAAGAAAAAGGACATCAGTTTCTGTGAATTCTGGGGAGCTTAATGTATGAAATTGTGTCCTGCAAAAGCAAAATGGCTATCACACTACAATGGCAGCCATGCTGTGACCACTTAGTTTTCATGCTGGCAAGAAACAGGTAAACAAAAACCCAAGAAAAGCAAGTTTGGACTTCTCGTCTCAAAAGCAGCCTTTATTTGTTTCCATCTCTGTCACACAAGCACAAAGAGTGAGTAAAACAGTGGGATAAGTAACAAGGAGCAGAAAAAGAAACATTAAGAAATGCAACATTAGGTGTTCAATAAATAGGGGAAAATAAAGGAAAGCTGGACGGTAATTCAACAGTTCAACAGCAATTCAATGCTGTTGCTTTATTCAATTTATCCTGTTGGGACTGGAAATGTTCATAGTGCTGAAAAATAAAGTATTAAAAAGAAACCTTAAATAAAAAGGAAACTCAAAGGAAGAAAAAGGCAAATATACACAGACACACAACTATTTTTTCCTCTGTAGAGAGCATCAAAGTGTAAGCCTGAAGGTAACATGTACAAATTCAGATCATTAGAAATGTCATTCTGCCATGCTGTTATTTGGCCTAGGAATCCTGGTTAAGGGTTTGCTTACTCTTCTCTTCAGCAGCCAGATTTTTCTTTGGAAACAATGGCTCTTTTAGGTCTAGGCATCCAATGTCAAGGTGTGAAAAGGACTGACATGGGTATTTTGATGGTCTAAGCAACAGTACGTACCCCTTCTTCATGCAATAACCAATCGTTTGAAACTGAACAGATTCCTGCACTCAACAGCTATTTCTGTCATGGAATAAAGATGAATTACTTGTGAAACCGTAGAATTTTAAATAGGATTAAATTTCCTTCTGCTAGTTGCTATCAATGCAAATGGTCCTAAAAACACTGAGTTAATAGGGATGTCAGTAATACTACAACAATAATATGTCTATTGGCATTGCACAAGATGAGCATTGACAAGCACAGAACCTATTGATATTTGCAGCGTGGACTGAGTATTCACTCCACAAAGACCATGAGGCTACCTTCATTTCAGTCAGGCTTAGAGATATATTCAGACTAAATAAATCATAGCATTATAACTTGTTGAGTATCTTTCAAAGGTTTTCACCAGAGGAACAGCAACAGTAAAAGTTGGCTTCACTTAAGTTAATCAGTTCAAGCTCAGTAAATTTATAAGACTTAACCTACACCCTCCAGATTTTTCCTTAGTCACATGCACATTTAATTTCTTCCAAATTTTTTAAAACAAAGAGAAAAATAATTGTGTCAGTTCCCTTCTTAAGCCTCCAGTGCTACATAGAGATTGCACTATCCAGGACATTTGAAGCTCAGCAAAGGAGTGTAGGGTTTAAAGCTCATCATGGGTCCTTTTTTCTCAGTAAAACGGCCTCCCTCCCTCCTTAGACTCAGTTCTCCAGTAAAGAGGGAAATTACTGTTATTACTAAGCCAGCTTGCAATGCATACAACATGATTATTCCTGTCTCACTCACTGTATCTACCTAAATCCATTTACACTGCAGAAGCATTCAGTAATGTCCTACTTAAGAAAATGATCTCCTCTCACTGCATCCCAGTCTGGCCAGTATGAAGGATTCCTTTTAAATTAGTCACAGGAGGTGTTGCCTGCTGTTCTAAGAAACAAAAATTCAAAATAAGAGAAAATAGCTCACCACCTATCTATACCCAGTCATCATTAGCAATTTGCAGTAAGCTAAAAAAGGTGTATATATTCTGCAACATCTTGTTGACTACTACTTCAGACTGATGCTGCAGCCTTGCTTCCTGCATCCCCCATACTTGATTCTCTGTCCTGTAGAAGAAAAAGTGTGTGTGTGTCTAAATTCTGGGTTTACAGGCTCAGGAGATACTCTACTATGGAAACCTCTGGGAACAGAGGTCACTTTTCCATCATTTTAAATATTCCCTCCCTCTAGTGTGGACACGTAGTTATAACCTCAGACCACAGGAGAGAACAAAAATATCTCAAGTAATGGTGTTGAAGTCGTAATGGCTTAGACCTCTACCAGACTCTAACACCGATATTTGTAATGCAAATTTTCTTTGTCATTTTTCCTTAAGTAGGCAAGGATGAGCCTGGAATAAAGGTAGCTGCCCACCTGCTGTGGTGGTCCTGCTAGAAGAGGCAGAGGAAGCTCTAATCACTGGCAGCTGTTTGAAGCTCACTGCCCTGGATGTTGGCCATTACTGGTGGGAGGTCACCCACACCTCTTTTCAAAGTGTCGCATGATACAGTTCTAAAGATTTTTTCTTATTCCAGTTTTTATGTATGAATTTTTTTCCTGAAGTTTTAGTCATACGAAAAATAGGGCAACTGAAACAGTTTTTGTGTTTGGCTCCAAGTATAATAAGAAAATTACTATTTTGTTTTTCTAAGCAGAGACAGTCTATAAAAAATTAGACCAATTGTTGGACTTCAGCATCCTCAGAGTTAGACAATGTAGGGGTCATTTTTATTTCATACTAAAAGGCAACATTTATTCCACTAATTCAAATGGGCCTGTTTGGTTTAGCTTTAGGGTCTAGTGGCACAGTATGGCTCATGTCTATGAGGATAAACTATCTTCCCAACTAGAAAAAGGGTGACTTTATACTTGTTGCCTATTAGAAGCAGTCCAGGTAAAGCTCGGAAATGTGTTCACAGATTGTCTTAGAGAATACTAGTTGGTGTAAGCCAAAACTGTGCCAGGAATCGTGCTAGTGATTAAACAATATGGACAATAATGTGCTAATGTTAACTGGCACTTTTACACTTTTCTTTTTGATCCAATAGCGTAGCTGGAACCAAAATACCACTACTAAAATGCATTCAACACCAACTTCTGCAAGTACACAAGCCTTTAAAGATGAAAAGATAAATTTTTAAACTAAAAGCTACATGATTTATCTACTAATTCAAGTTTTCTAGCCTTTTTATTTTTTGTTTCAATATGAAACAGAGAAAATGTGTTAATAAAAAAATATCACAGAATGAATGAAGAGGAAGAGAATCATCTAAGTATGTACATAAGTGTGAGCAGGACAGATGTACATGCTTGTTTTAGAGATTTTTGTATTGACTCAAACTGTCAAAAGTCAAACTGAATCACAGCAGATCTGCGATGCTGTTCATAATTTAAAAAGAATGATCAAAACAGAGGCAGAAAAATGGCACTGTACAGAGTCTTGGTAGCCAGGAGTCAGACTATAACTGCAAACCTTAATTTATTTAATATACTATCAATTTTATTGTCTATTTCTGCAAGAACACTACACTGTAATTATTGAGAAACATGACATTCTTTCAGAAGTCATACACTTAGCAGCCTCTTGTGTCAAATCTCTGCATCTCAAACTTATCAGAGGTACAATAAATGACTCAAATACTACACTATGCTTATCAATTTCTACATCTAACTCCATGGATATTCCTTCATAGACAGAGGTTTATTATTGAGCGTTCTAAAGGGGCTGCAGAAATTAGAAAATAATTCCTTCTGAAGAGTATAAAACAAATCAGTTCTGCTTCAAAATCAATCATACTTTTACCATTAACTTCAGTAAAATGAAGTACAGCAAAACACCCTTCTAAGCTGAATTCACAATCTGTTTTGGCACTTTTAAATACTTTTGCAGCTTCCAAGAATTTTCTTCAGAACAATGGATATCTTGCTCTAAAATTTTAATATCTTGGTCCACTAATTTAAGAAAGACCATTGCACATGATTCACTATTTATTTTACATGTCTTAACATATTATATTTTATACAATGTACCTCATACTTAAATAATGGGATCTTGAGCTTGTCTGCGATTTTAATTCTAAATTTTGATTCTAAAATTTAATTCTAAAAAATAACCCATTGTAAAGTATAACTAAAAAATCAGTTTAGTGACTTTTGATGTGATTTGCTCTCCAAACCTCAAAAGTTCTTACTGTAGCCAGTTATTTCTTAGCACCAGCTAAATAAAACCTCATTCACCCATATACTTGATTTTACACTGACATGCATTACTTCGTCATTATTCAGTGAACTGCAGCCTATAATGATATTGGAGGAAAATAATTTGTGTGCTGTTGACTAAACTCATAAGAAACTTTGGCCACAAAATAGCAATTAGTTTTCCTTGAATAGAGGTCTTCAGTGGGTCCACAAGACAACAGCAAGTGTAACAAGACATATTTTAAGAACTAGTATTTCTATTCAGTAATATTCTTATCAATGACAACACAAATGCACATTAATCCCTCTTCCGAGACACTTCTTAGAAGGTCAGTACTAGCAGATGTTCACAGGAAAGTCTATACTTACACTTTATATGCATAATTTAAGCCTCTCTTCATTCATGTGAAGTACACTTAACTTTTTCCATTGCTATCTTGAGACTGAGGACTGCTGTGTTCAGAAGAAAAAACTAATGTTGTGTTGTCAACACTGAGATTCAAAGCTAAGGTAAGGTTTTCAAAATCATAGATTATGATGACAAAAATGATTAACCCTTCCTCCCTCTCCTCATCCCTTCCTCCCTCAAAAAGGATCACCTACAGTTACATATGTTCTTAAATCTTACTGAAGAAAGCAAAAATATGGTAAACATGATAAATTGCTGCCTTTGCTTGATCTGCAGCAAAATAAACAGTATCAGAAAGCAATAACACTTTCTGTCCTACTAATGAATTGCAGTGAACTAATGTGATACTCTTTGTAGGAGAATTGATGATGAACTTATTGGCTGTTCCACATGCCTGCCACTGTAATTTAGCATTCATTAATAACCACTTAAATTAGACCGCTGTTAAACAAAAGTACAGTCTGTGCAGTTGCAAACAATTTTCAACTCTCATATCAAATCTTATGACAGAGTTGCTCAGCTTGAATCTTAAGGGAATGATCTTTCCGTTGCCGTCCATTCCATAGGGCAGGGTAGTTGCTGGTTGCCTACTGTGACAGTATCTAACACCCTAGAATATGTTTGCCCTGTTGTTTCTAGTCCTCTAAAATATAGTTTGTCCTCATTAAAAGTAACATTAACTGTATACAAAGACACTTTTTGTGTAACATAGAATAATAGCTAGAAAAAATCATCCTACCTTTATACTTAAACCAAATCCTCCTACAGTCTGTCTTCTAATTGTTACTGTTCTTTCCTGGAAAAAAAAAAAAAAAATCAAGTTTTGTTAGATTTAATGTTTTCTGCCGTAATGTCTATATTTTCACTTCAATAAGTTGTTTCTGTGCTTCCATCCTACATTGATATTTCTTGTTTTGATAAACCTGTGAGTTCCTGAATGCAAAAACCCCATGAAACCTCTGCTGCAGAGGACAAAGACAAAGTCTGGAAAACAAGCAGAGGCCCTGTCTTAGACAAAAATTAATTTGTTCAATTCATACCATACTAGCAAGTACTGCGATGCAATAAAAACATACTATAGAGTTTAACAGTTAGTGCACAACACCTGAATTTCAGAGGTCTTAACCTGAACCAGTCCTGAATTGGTCCCATATGCAGATTGAGCACTACACGCTGAAGTACATAAACTACACTCCTGTAGCACGTTTTCCTATTTAGTTTCATTCAAAAGGAATACAGCTTGTGTACTCCAAGACCACTCAGTGAAGTGAACCAAAGCATGATAAGTGCACATGATCCAGAAATTCATTTCAAAGCACAGTCCTGATCCCAATTTAAAAACTAATACAAACACAGCCACTGTTGACCTCAGAGCTATGGTTTAAAAATTGTAACCAATGATTTAAAGGGTGTTGTACAGATGGAAATACTGAAGCAGCCCATTTTTTTCCTTTTTTTGCTCATCCTAAAATTTGTTCTGTAAAAACTGTAGACTAGTATCTGTCTTAGATATGAACATTTACAAAAAAAGACTTTTTTTTTCTAGTCTGTCTTGTTGACTTTATTCCGAAAGATCATTTAGAATTATTCAATTAGGTTAGTGTTAAAAAATCTTAGCAGCAGGTATACCATATGTCCAGATACAAATATACAGAATATATAGATTTTTTTAATGCTCTCTACATGTGGTCTAGATTTTATACCTATTGCATTATATACATTGCATAGCATAAGTCTGCATATATATTTTATCTATATATGTTCATGTATTTCAGCACAATCAGCATAGATTGCCAGTGTCAGTCAGATTTGACTAATTTTCTCATCAGAAACCAGTGACAGAGAGGATGAAATATCTACAGAGCTATTTTTTTCCTCCTTACTTTATATACAGAAAGGAAAAGAAAGGATGTAGGGCTATCACACAGGAGTTTTGGAAAACTGATATTGCTGAATTTGGGGGAAAATCCAGTTGCCTTCTTTCTTTTTCACATTTGTGACAAGTATGAATTGTGTAACTGCAGAAAGAGCAAGCATAAAGTAGTCCAATGTTTTGGATGGCAAGACAAAATGGATTTCCTAAAATGAGATTTTCCATTTATTTATTTAGGCTAATGCTTGTAAATGTTTAATCTAAGAAAGAGGTACACAATTTTGCCTTTAAATGGCCAAACATTTCAAATTATTTTTTAACATTTGAAATGCATGAAAAAAATATACTGTTATATTTGTAACCCACAAATGAATGCGTGACATGGCAATAGAGGAATATGCAGCTATCCTGTTTCATCCATGTGCTTCTGCGCTGTTCAGAGGGACCAGAAGAGTCCTCTTGGCTCTCAACTCACATGTCCTAGGAACAAACTTTCATAATGAAGTTCCCAGAAACTGGGTTCAGCCCACAAAGTTATTTCACTTCAGGCCACAAACTGTAGTTAGAAAACCTTTTGTCTGCCAGGAGGTTTCAGCTGCAGGTAACGTTGCAGACGATATATTCAGGATAAACCAACATAGGCCACAGTCTGATGTGTGGTCTAAGCTGACCACAACATGAACAAACATGAAACATTCAGCTGTGGCTCCACCGGTAGCTGTATTTTTCCTGCTAACTGCACCTCATCCCCCAGCTCCAGCTTGTGTTGAACATTTAATTAGGAACAGAAGCTTGACTTGTACACTCTAGTCAATACATTCTAGTAGTTTTGTTATACATGCTCAAATCAAATAGAAAATACTTGTGTGACCTGAGAAGATGTTTAAAAATAGTAACCTTCTAATAAACTGGCTCGATAGCATTACATTAACCATAAACGGAATAAAGAATATCACACTTTACAATTAAATTTCAAATGAAGTGGTATGCTCAGTGAAAAACATAAATCTTCATTAAAATTTGTAGTTCATGATACGTCAGTAGTCACTGTAAAGTTTAAATAGCGGCATCTGAATATATTCTAAGCTGGAGCTACGCTTTTAAAAAGCCTAATAGAACGCTGTCCTGCAGAATATTTCTATCCCTGTTGTTGTTTTTCTTAGCACAACACACACAAGTACCCATATAAAAGAGTCAATAAAATATTATTTCTGGTTTTCACTCAAGCAAAGGCAGAGTCAAGCCAGCCCTGAAAACACATGATTTGGGGTCTTTTGCGAGCTTACCAGTGCTGTCTGACAGGAAACTAGAGACATTTGACACTGGAATTCAGCATTACTTTTTAAGAGAAAGAAATGCATGCTTCAGAAATACTTTGCTAGCATAGCAGACTACTAAATAGACAAAACCATGTAAAAGTAAGCAAAGGGAAGAGAAAAATTTCAAGCAACTGTAATTTGTCAGCACAACATAATTTATTTTTTCTAGGTTCTTTTCTCTCTCCACTGAGAGTAGATATTAAATATTTCAGGTCTGGAGTGTTACTGAACTGAATTGAACTTTGAAAACATACTGCAAACTAGGTCCACTCGAGTGATGTGCCACGTGTAATGAAGGCATTGCATTGTATTTAACCTAGGCTAATTCAACACACTTCGTTTTACAGTAAAGAAATATTACTTTGGTATATCTTAAGTGTAAAGACTTACATATTCTTCACAGCATGATAGCTAACAATTGCAAACATGCAGACAATTAATGATCTTCAAAAATAAAAATCAGCATTATGTACGAGTTATATATTTCATTAGTAAACCATCAATAATCCCCTAGTCTGTGATTGCAAACCTCACATAAACAATATAGTGAAACAGCTTTTCCAGAACTGTCAGAAGCATCACACATTTCATACAACAGAATTTTGGCTTAGGATCAGACTCCAGCTCTGATCAGCTCCTCTTTTTTTACCCAGTAGTTTGGAAGACTCATAGGACTTATCTAACCACAGTTAATCCATCTAAAACTGAGCCACTGGCCAAGGCAAGTTTTTTCCTGTAATCAGTAACGAAAAATAAATACATTCAATACAGGTGAGCCAAAGCAGGTGCCCAAGCTAGGTGATAATCATTTTCATCACCTATTTGCACAGGGTAGTTAGTATTCTGTGACTGAATTTGCAATGTTTTTGCGAATTCCAAAAGCAACTTCATCTCCAAGTTTACAAAATAAAACTTGATTCTGATGAAAAGTTACTTAGTTCAATATGAAGACTACACAAAATGTCCTGTGAGCTTGTAATTCCATTATCACATTTGTTATCTACATTACACCAAACAGAGGGAAAGTTAGAGCTCCTAGGATCCTTAAATGCAAGATTCAGGGCAGCGTTTTAGAAGCTGCTTCCTGGAAGAGAACAAAAGGAGTTATCGTTTTATTGAAAAACTCAAAGCTGCTGCCAAGCTGTCAGCATTTTCCATGCCTCTAACTCAGAAAATTCCTCATCCACACATATGTTCATTGACTGGAAAGGGGAGCTAAGAGTTTTGCCAGAAAAATTCTTCCTCAGAGCTATGCAGTGAAACAGAAGCAATACTTTTTAGGCTTTCATTAAAGAGGTATTAAAAAATCTCCTTAAAATCCATATGATCTTCTTGAGATCATGAACATCATCCTAAATGAGATTTGAAGTGAAGAATGACCACGTGAGCACACAGCAACAGTAAATAGTCAGGAAAGGAAAACAAGGAATCCTAGGTAATAATTACCTATTTACACTTAGTCAAGAGTTAATGTTATTTTTAACAGTTAAATCTTAGGGCACAGTAAAAACTCAAACATTTCATACTGACTGGTATGTGATGGAAAAGAGTTTATAATTGCTTAACTGACTCTTAACAATGACAATTAATTAGTAATACTTTCAAATTATTTATTCTGTATAATATAAAACAGTAATCTAATGTGATCTAATAATCTGACTCTATGAAAGTAATCAAATAACAGTTGAACAAAAAGACAAAGAAACTTCAAAACTCTTCATGAAACTGAGTTAACAGCATGTGAAACTTCAATATTCCATTACTCAAGCTTTTTACTAGGACATAAATATTACATTTTCAGTTTGGGACACTGGTGTGTCTCATTTTCATCTTACAGGAGTAAAGGTATGAAGAATTAATTTGTCTAGGTCCAGACAGAAAACAAGACCTCTCTTTTCACAGTAGACAGAACAGACACCAAGGTACTACACATACGGAAGAACATGGAAAAAAGCTGAATGGGTGCAGAACAAAATAGTAGGTGGGAAAAGAGGAATAGACATGGAGAGGAATCTACAATAGCACAGTGTCATGGAAAAATGTAGGGGGAAAAAAAAGGAGGAAAATGTTAGTATACATATTTTTTAAATGTATTAATGATATATAAAGATATAACCAATACATTGGCAGCAACTTCATAGATCAACCTGTTAACATTTGATGCCATAATATCTCCAAGGCCATACTCTCATGTAGTTTATCAGCTATTAGTAATCCCACTACATTTTGAAATAAGAAATGTCACAAGAATTTTTTTTTTTTTCATTGAATTATTTCAGACATTTTCAAGAAGGGAGATTTTATATCCTCTTTTTGGTCATGCTTTGCTCTTTCTTGCTGGAATTTCTTTGGATTAATTGATGTGAGCAGTCAAACTTTACGCTCATTCTGAGTGTAAAGGACACAGGGCACAGGTCAGCCACATTTCCAATTTGAATTAATAGTGTTAACAAGGTTTGCCAGCAGACTTGCTCATCTGTTAACAATTTCCCTTGTGTGACATTCAAAGCTTGTCTCCTTATTTCAGTTCTTCACACAACTGGAGAAGGTCGGCAGTAAGGGATGGCAGCAGAATACCTGGTCAATTGGAAATCCCCCTTCCTC